CCGCGGCGCCCGCCGCCGCCCCCGCCGCGCGCGCCTGCAGCTGCTTGGACGCGAGCCACTCGGTGAAGCGGCGCTCGTTCTCGGCGCGACGCTCGTCCTCGAGGCGCCGGCGCTGCGCGCGCTGCTCGGCGCGCCTCCGCCGCGCCGCCTCGCGGGCCTGCCGCCGCTCCAGCAGCTGCTCGGCGGTCAGCCCGTACTCGGAGCGGAGGCCCTTGTAGGCGGGCAGGTGCGGCCCGGGCGTCGCGGCGGGCGCGGTTGCGGGCCGGAGATCTGGCGGGGGTCATCGAGGTGCTGAGAAAGGTCTCGGACCTGTTTGCGACGGCAACCCCGTGCGCTGATCGACTTACCTGGGCGGGCCGCCACCACCCTGGGCAAAGTAGTGGCCGCCCTCCTCGGCGCCGGGGTCGGGGCTGCGGGAGGGGCGGGCGTGGGCGCGGCTTCTGGCACGACGGAGACGCCGCGGGAAGCCTCGTTCGCGGTCTCGTCCTCCGAGGAGCTCCCCGGCGCGTTGCTCTCGCACTCCGTAGAAGAGGCCGACGGCGAGGTCGGCGCGGCGGCGGGCTGCCGCCGACGAGAGGCGCTCTTGGGGCGGCCCGGACGCGGGGCGGCGCAGGGTGGCGCCGAGTCGCCGGGGGGCAGGTCGTCAGGCACGCTGAACAGGGTGATGTGCGTGACGGTGGGGTCGTGCTGCGGGCTGTCCGGGCAGCTGTCCGACGCGCTGTCCACCACGCTGCAGACGGGGCTCGCCGCCGCTGCCAGGCTGTCCGCCGCCGGGCCGTGGTGCTCGGACACGTCCTCGTCCTGGGAGGTGATGTCCGAGCTCACGTCGCTGCCCTCGCACACCGCCACAAAGGGAGACCAAGTGCTGGTCTCGCCACTGCAAAAGGGCGCGAGCTCGTGTATAGGGCGGACGACGACGGCCACAACAACAGCAACAACAAAATACACGGAATCGACCCTGCTGTTGTTGTTGTTGTTGTTGTTTTTTTTGGGGGGGGGGGGAGTTCTACGTGCTTACCCGCCAGATGCCGCCACGCTCTCGTCGTCGTCCTGGTCTAGGGAGCAGGCTGTCACGAAGGTCGCAAACACCGCGTCGTCGTCGTCGTCGTCCTTCTTGTGGTCTCGCTGCTCGCCGCCATCCTCGGCCTCGGCAACCTCCTCACAAACCTCCTCGTCGGGCGCCACATCATCTGACGCCTGGGGCTGGAGGTCGTGATCCCCTACCCCGAGCTCAGCCGCCCGCCCCTCGCACTCGCGGTCCTCCTTGTCGGGCTCGGCCTCGACGGGTTGGTCCTCGTCCGAGCCGCCGGACGACGTCTCGTGGACGGCGCTGACTACGTCCCGGGCCTCGTCCTCGTCCTCTTCATCGTCATCGCCCTCTTCGGAACTGGACCCGTCCTCTGCGG